TTGAAGCCAGCGGGAGACTTGAATTGTTCAACTTCAGCGTAAACCGCATTTTCCGTCTTTCATTGCCGGGCGCCCTCGTCTGCAGTTACAGGGCCCGGGAGACGAGCTGTTGTCAGCTCGACCGCCGTCAAAGGACAGCTACCGCTTGTGTTTCCTGATTCACGAAACAAAACAAAACAAAACAAAAAAGAGAAAGAAAAAAACCGAATCCACACCCCAGCCCCGCACGCCTGACAACAGGACGCTACCGGTGGGGCGCCAATACTGGACACTCGCAAAAACAAATAATAAAAAAAAACCGTTTATTCACATCGACACCCCCCGACTTCAAAAACACTATTGCAACCCGAATGGTAAGTAAACTATTCTACATTCCCAGCAAGTCATGTTTTGTATTTTGTTTTGTTTATTTTTTTAAACTGCGCCTGGTTTCGGGTGCAAATTGCTCAGCACCTCAACCGCGCGCCTTCCGCCTCCTCTCTCATTCTTGGTGGATACCCCCAAAGACTTGATACCCCAAGACTGAAGGATGTCCACACCTGCTCTGCCCCCGTCTCGTTTCGCGTGACGGCAGGAAAACCCCACACTATAACTTTTTTTTTTTGTTAACACATAAGGAAAATAAAAAAAATCACACACACACACACAACAGCAGATCAATCGATCAGTAGTCCTAGGAGAGACGCCCCGCGCGATATGAAATGTCGGAGGAAGACGCGTCACTGAAAAAAAAAACAACTAGAGCCGGCGAGCAGGAATATCATTTCTCCCCTCTTTCTCCGTGCTCCGCTTCCCTGTTTTTATTTTCAGCTTCTCAAAAAAAGGAAGAAAAGACGAACAAGTCCCCGGTTATTCACCCGACGGGCCCGAAAACCAAAACACCCCACTGGGTTAGCCACTCAGAGCCCCTCCAGACCTCCACAGCTTGCTGGGGGTGGGGGGACATTAGAGGTGTTGAGGCTGTTGGTTCGTCGGAGGGGTCGGCTCGGTCGAGCGGGGGACGACGGGAGCCGAACCGGATGTTAGAGCTGTGAGCCCTGCGGCCTGTCTCTCCTGCGAGACACTGCAGCTCACGGGAGAGAGGTGTGTGTGTGTGTGTCAGAAACCGTCCTGTCCTCCAGTGGGATGAGTGACTAAACACAACGCACAGGACACACACACACACACCACATCTGGGTTCCAGTTGAGCTCTTGCAAGCACTTTAGCGCCACCTGGCGTCGTAACCGCGGCTCCTCGCTCCCTGACAGGTCGCTCCGTGAACTCGATCTCTCTCTCGTTTCACTTTCGCGTCTTTAAGTGGGGAGGTGTCCGTGGGGGGACGCCAGGTGTCGCGCACACGCGTTATCCCGCCGCCCCGGTTCCCTAAGAGAGAGCGCACGCAGACCCACAGACACACAGAAATACACTAGACAGAGAAAATGGGTTCGACGTCGTAATGAGCACCTCGTACAGACACACAGGTTACAGTGAAATTAAAAGAAAAAAAAACAGATGTAAAAGAAGACGCAGCCCGTCCACTCCACTGGCCCCAACACAAATCTCTCATCCAAAGAGCAACAACAATAATAATAATCATATTAATTATAATTACAATCATAACACTGAGACAAAATGGATCATAATACTGGCATGACATACAGAATTAAATAAGACCCCTAATCATAATAAAAATATTTGCATTTACATAGTTTTGACTTTTTTTTGCCCCCAGACAGTGATATCTTAATTCAGCATTTCAGTGTACATAGTAATAAAAAAACAGGCAAGCATTTTTCATCGATACATACTGCGGTAAAGAAGGATAGTGTGAAACACAGAGCAACAGCTAGAAGAGAGACAGAGAGATAGAGAGAGAGCGACCGCTGGCGCGTCAAGACTGCAGAGCCTGATTTGTGTAGGGTGAGGTGTGTGCGTGGTTTTTGGGGGGAGGGCCGGGAGAGGGTGTCCCGTAGGACCCGTGCGGGGAGAGTGACGTCGACGTGGCGGCCGTGACGTCACAGCGAGAGAGACGAAACCACCCGGCCCGGGCGACACGAGCGGTCCCCCCACCGCTTCCGGCGATTCGATAACACGAACAAAAACATCGATATTTTTCAGCAGCAGTCCGTTTTTTAACCCAGTTATGTTCTGTTCTGAACTTAGTTTCCGCTTTTGACCCAGATATGTTCGCTTGTGTTCTTAGTTTCCGTTTTTAACCCGGGTGTGTACTGTTGTGTTATTGTGTTCTTCGCTCTCCTAACTAACACGGCGGTTTGTTTCCGAAACAGAACTCACTCGCCTTGCCACTAACCAGGACGAGGCTGGAAACGATGTTTTCAGCTGGTTTCGATGAAGCGGTGGCTTCGCGCCACAGGGAAGGCGCTTGGTCTGGTTTCAAACAAATCTCAAAACAATCCGCCTGTTCCTCGCCCTCTACCCCCCCCCGTGTCCTTTCGGCCACTCACGCGCCAGAGGTCAGCTCGCAATTATTCAAAGCCAATTAAGCAATTAAAGACCACCTGAGTTTTGAGACACCCCCCCCCCGTGTGTAAATCAGACACCCCACACTTCTGCAGATCCAGACACCTGAAGCCGGTCCTGGTTTCACTGTGGCTGAGGCCTGAATGACTTCGTCAGAGCTCGTTCATGGGCCTTATCTCATCTCATTGACCTTTCCCTGCCGTCTGTCACACCTGCAGGTTCCAGACCTGCAAGATTGGAGACCCCTGATTTGGGGTGACCCGTCAGACTAACTGGACTGGGGCTCCCCAGGACCAGGGCTGGAGACCCCAGATTCGGGGTGACCTGTAAGAATAACTGGACTGGGGGCCCCAGGACTGGGGTTGGAGACCCTGGGAGGAAGGAAACGCTACAGGAGCTGGACGGAGATGTCCGGAAGCGCGGCAGGTCCAGCTGCTTGACGACCCGGGAACGGGAGCCGACAGAGGGAGACCCGCAGTCGGGGACACGCGGTCGGCCGGGAGGAGATACGAGTGATCCTGCGTCTCTGCAGTTCAGAACGGCTGTTACGAAGGTCCCACCTGAGCCCTTAATTGCTTATTTGAACTCCTTAATTGCTTAATTGGACTCATTGATGCTTAATTGACCTCCTTAATTGCTTAATTGGAGAAGGGAAAGCCTTTCCTTATTGTTCAGAAGCGGGAGGAGTAAAGAGACCTGTACCACCTGCCAGTACAGGAGTAGTGTGCCCCCTTGTGGGGCCATCGGGTAACGAGAGCAGCGAGGCCCGCTGGGCAGCAGATCTTGGACAGAGCGAGACGGAGAGACAGACAGAGAGAGAGAGAGAGAGAGGCTTATTTACAGCTGTTGACAACAACCAGACCTCAGCAGAATAAAGTCAGTGCAGACAGCGATGCTGTGTTTGACCCCCCGCTACGCGATGCACGGTTTGGGCGTGTCACTGTTTAAATACATGTTCGTATAAGTCAAGGGAGGGGTGGGAAGACGGCACAATAACGGGAAACGGTAAAGCCACGGACGCAGCCAGAGTGATGCGCTGGGGAGGGGGGAGGGCGTCCACGCCTGCTGTGACCCCTCGTCTCCACTCTCCTGTCCGGTTCGGAGAAAACGGCAGAATTTAATCAGCGGCCAATACCCGGCCCATCCTTTATCAGGAAACCTGCTACACCTGCAGCCTGGAGCCTCTCCTGGAAGCACAGGGCGCGAGTCAGTGCTACGTCCTGCAGGGGGCGCTAGTCCACGGGCCGGTCCGTTCGTTCGATGCCTCTCCCTGTCAGTGAAAAGGAAGTCCGGCTGCGGTCGGATACGTTCCCGGGCAACGGTGTTGCCACGGCACTCAGCAGATGGCATCTCGTACGGAAATGGGAAGAGACGTGAGATGTCCCAACCATTCCCTGCGTGCATCCCTAACCATCTCTAAGCACTTTACATTAACAGGCAGGGACCCACTGACTGGAGAAATTGTTGCACCAGGTGACTGAGGGGACTGTTAAGGACCAAGTAGCGGGGACCTCAGTTTACGACACTGCGGTCTGCCACCAGTTACCATGCAGGGGGCTCTGGTTCAGACATTCCTGCCTAGAGGGTGGAGTGCCCCCTACTGGTCCACCAGTCACTCTTACAGATTTCCACCCCAGTATAGCCCAGGCTCTGGCCCAGCTCAGCTTCTGGGACCTGATGTCCTGACCTGATAATCGGGCGTCTGTGTTTTTCAGACAGGCAGGCTGATATGAGAGGATCTACCCACCCGAGGGCGCCCCCGGTGGTGAACCCTCAAGCACGAAGTGTTTGCGTCAGATCAGCACTGGGAAGCATTTTGTGGTCCCCACTCCCCCTCCCCCCCCTCCCTTCGCCATGTAGCCACACCCCCTCCCAGCCCAGCCCCGCCCACACCACCACACCCACACACATGGCCCCGCCCACGTCGCTCCGCCCCACACCGCCTCTCCTCCTCCAAGTCCCGCCTCCACTCCCTCTGCTCCGGCATGGGGCCGGTCGCCGCCCCCCCCCCCCCCCCCCCCGCCACTCTCTCCGTAAAGTATTGTCTTATGGCCCTGACATCCCCCCTCCCCAAGCAAGGAGGTCAGCAGAAGCGCACCAGAAGTGAACCATGCGCCCCCTGCAGGAGGTCAATGGAAGCGCTCTAGCAGTGGGCCATGCGCCCCCTGCAGGAGATAAACGGAAGTGCTCTGGCCTCGGCCCGCTTGATTTTTCTCCATCTGCTTTGGTCAGTGTTACGCTGTGGAGCCGCCGCAAGCAAACATCCGTGGGCGGCAGGCCACCCAGCGGTCAGCGGAGGTGGACAGATGGACCTCTTGCGGCGGTTTCGAGCCCTCGGAAAATTCCCACCCTACATTTCCACAGAATAAGACTGATGACAAACAAATGTCGAAAACAGTTTGTTTTTTCTTTACCAGATGGCGGGTCTTGCAGTTCCTTGTTTTTTTTGTTGTTGTTGTTGTTGTTGTTGTTTTCGTCGTTAATTTTTAGGTTAAGAGTGGTTTAAAGTTCTGGATGAGCCCCTCCTCCTGGTCAGCTCTCTCCCGTTCCCTAGATGAAGTATTCCTTCTTGTCCTCGGCTCCAGACTGCCCTCCCTCGGCATTGATGATGGCCGTGTCGGCGTCGGGGGCGTCGTCCGAGCCCTTGGCTTCGTGCGTCAGGTATGTGCCTGCCAGAGCCGATCGATCAATCAATCAATCAATCAATCAATCAAGTGAGCAAGCAAGTCCCACAGTTCCATGTCCTGCCTCCCCTGTTAACTAGCCAATTAACCAACATAGCATTCCGACAATCAATCAATCAACAAAGTCCCACAGCTCCATGTCCTCTCCCCTGTCAGCTAGCCAGTTAATCAATACAGCACTCTGACAATCAATAAT